TCGGATGATTCCGGACCACTTGACGCCGCAAACCAAACAATACTGGCTAAGATAGTCCGTGCATTGCTATGAGATAATTAAATTTTTTTTTACTAAAAACACACGGATCGCACGATAAAATAATAATATTATTAAATTAAATACCGACGTTAAAGTGACATTTAATTCAAAAAGCAAAGTTCGTGAAATTAACACAGTCACGGAGAGCGTGGCGTCGCAGGCTCATAAACTCTACTATATAGAATTTTTCGTAATATGGCTAAGATAATATTTTATATCAACACAAAGAATTTTTCGATATCCATTTCTTTCATGCGCCAATAAATCCATGAATAAGTTCCGCTGCATCTCCATATAATCCTGTACACACAGGTTCGATTATATATGTAAATATTAGTACTGGTTACATGGATAATACCGCGTGTCTTAAAAAATCTCTCATAAAATTTTAAAACAAAGTATGTTATACTCACCGTATAAATATGTGTGGCTTTAGGACTATTTCACACAGACATATATTGTAAAATAAGGTATCCACTTATGTATCTATTCCAAGATGTTAAATTAGGTGTTGTAATTCTTAATTTCGACACATTTTTCAGATCAAGGCAACCAATGGTGACACTTTTTTTTTAGTGGTGCATAATTTTATGGTTCACCTCTTGACTATCTGAGTAAGGACAAGTTAGCACTACAAAGGCTCCGAAAAGCGGTTGAGAAGGCCAAGGTTGAGTTTTCCTCTACTATACAAACTAAAACCTATGTCCCCATTTATCATTACCGACGCTTTTGATGCAAAGCAATTCAACATTACCATGATCAGATATAAGTTTGAGTCTCTTGTGAGCAATCTCGTAGAGGGACTCTCATTCTTTATATGATCTGTCTCAAGGATATTGGCAGGACGATAGATCCATGTTGAAATGTCGCACCAAAAAGTATCCACGTTTTGTCCACGATTTATTTCCCATGAATACATGCGGGTACTATAATAACACTAACTACACCAAATGAAAGATTAGAGAGAATTTGTATTGACTTCGGAAGGATTTATTTATTAAGTTCTTTGGACTCTATAGGTAGTTTTGAAATATCTGTTTGCATGTCTTACCTCGTATCTTAATTCAAAATTTTGTAGTTTAATTAGAATATTTAGGTGATTGTATATATATAATATTCAATACAAGAATAATCTAGGCATGATCTTCTTGAAAGATTTCTGCAGTGTAAAGACATCTTCGTTTTTCATGCATGCTCGTGCTAACGCTACGGTAAAAAAAAGACAATATATCAATTAAAAAATAAAAACAAAACTCATGCTCAAAATCAAAGAGATAAATTATGGATGCTTAAATTTTGTCATCCATTATCTATTGGTGTGCCTATAAAATAGACCAAATAAACAATTAAACATAGATAGAAAACTAAATTAATAAAAGGATCATTGCAAGACATCAATCATCTCATAGCTTCGGACAATATCGCAAAGCTACTAAAAACTATAACCGTGCCCTCACCTCAAACATTGGCCAGATAAATGGATTACAATGAAAGAAATTGATATCGAAGATTTCTTCCTGCCAATATAAAACATTATCTTAGCCGCATCACGGAAAGATCTATAAAGTAGAGTTTGTGAATCTGCGACGCCACACACTCCGGGACTCTATTAAATTCATAAACTTTGCTTTTTGGATTAAATGTCACTTAAACTTTGTTATTTAATTTTTACAGTATTGTAATCTTATCATGCGATCCGTGTGTTTTTAGTATAAATTGTTAGTTATCCCGTAGCAACGCACGGACACGCTATCTAGTATAAATATAAAGAATGAAAAAGACGACAAGAAAAATGGGCATTAGGCCAACTCCTTTTGATTCTTTATGAACACATCTAAAAATTAACATGTGGGCTGTGGGTTGTGGGCATCAAATCAAAACAATAAAAAGAACATGGATTCAACCATAAGTAGCATTTGCTCTCTTTTTTTGAAAAAAAAAAAAGGTCTGTATGCAGAGTTACAGGATTGTCAATCTTATTAACATCATCAATTTTTGGCAAGTGTAGAACTCAGCCAAGACACTCATTGAAGTGCTACGTCCCTAGCTCGCAACCCAATTAAAGTAAGTTCTCGCAAGCCTAGCTCCCCAGCCATTATTAAACTGCATGAAGGGCTCCGAAATGAAGACCACTATTTGAAAAAAGAGTAAATGATTATTGTTTCCTTCCATGCATGATTGTTTTCTTCCATGCATGATTATTGTTTCCTTCCATGCATGATTATTGTTTCTTTCCATGCATGTGGCCTCAAGTGATCGATTTGTTTCCTTCAAAGCAGGTGGGGATCGCAGGGATGGCAATTTCTTTTTCTATCACGCGGGGTATCGCATGGGCAGACAACGAACCAAAATAAATATCGAATCAAAAGATATCTACACTTTATTCTTTTTAATTATAGGAGATTTTAGCCCTTAACCATTATTACGAAGGTTACAAACCAAGCCTAGGAGACAATATCGACTTATCCTATTGGCAATTTGGCATATGTGTTGCTGGCCTGCCAGGCCCTCGCGTACCGCCTCTGCTCGGGACATTATATCCACCTAGCGCAAGACAGCAGGGCCCAATCAAGGTTCAGAAGCTAAGCCCAAGTTAAATTTTGCTCCCCGAAATTCTCTTTCAATATTATATCTGGCAAGACCTGTTTTACAAATACATATTTTTCAAACTCGATTTGAGTATTTGACTTAAAAACATCCTCGAACTCAAACACCGAACAACATAAACCTTAACTTTCAAAACCATATAAGTTACCTCCCTCGGCCCTAAAATATTCCATATTAGTTTCGATGGTGATTTTGGCCGATATGGCAGATATAAGGCATGTGGAACCTATGTCTTTGGTTTTTTTTGCCATGTCATCTTTTATTAAATATTTTGGCTGATATGGCAGATATAAGGCATGTGGAACCTATGTCTTTGGCTTTTTTCGCCATGTCATCTTTGGCCGATATGGTATTTTTAGATCTCGTCAAGCATCAAAATTTTGCAGAGTGTGTGTCTAGCTCCATCCGAGGCCATTTGGGAAAAAATCAAAATTTTGAATTTCCCAATATTACAACTTAAAATGAATATTTGAGGCTTCAAACAATCTCAAATAAAAACGCCATCAACTACAAAGCTATAAATGGTGTCGAGATTTACAACTTTGGTATATAGATAATATCAACATCTGTGGCCATTATTTTTTAAATTTTTTTTTGACTTTTAAAATATAAGAAAAATGAATATTTAGGCCTCTAATCGATCTTAGGTAAAAGAAACTTAACTATAAGTTGTAGATCACAGTGACAGCTACAGCTGCAACTTTGGTATAGACTATGACAATATCCAAGGTAGTTTGAAAAATAAATTCAAAATGTTATAACCTAAAACAAACATTTGAGTCTCTAAAAAAGTTGTAGATCACATCTCTAAATTTTAATATAAAGTTTGTGATCATGGGACTTCATATAAAAAGGTTATGACTTTTTAGTATAAAAAAAAGATAGATTGTTACTGTGAATTTTTTTTTTTTTTGCGAATTCTGTGATTTTTTTTATGCTTCCATTACGATTGGCATGGATTTGCACTTCGGTAATTGACGTTCTTGTATGAAAATAATTTATAAGCAGTGCAATCTTACTAAGCTGTTACTCTATCGAGGTCTAGGTAGCATCAACTTATACAAGCGGACAACTTAATTACTGTTTGTCAAGGTTGTATATATCATCGACATGCCGAATCAGCCTCCAGCAAGTCACATAAGAGCTGATTGAATCATATATGTTTAGTGTCTCCACAAGAATAGGCTAGGAGATCGTTGAGAGAAGCTTCGATCAGCGTCAGATCAGAAACACATGTGTGAGATCTGAATTTTATGTGATGGAGGCCTTGTTTAGATTGAGATTATGAATCAATATTTGGTACTGTAGCATTTTCGTTTGTATTTGATAATTATTGTCCAATCATGACCTAACTAGCTCAAAAGATTCGTCTCGTAATTTACAATCAAACTGTATAATTAGTTATTTTTTTATCTACATTTAATACTCCATGCATGTGTCCAAAGATTTGATGTGATGGAGAGAGTAAAAAAACTTGCAATCTAAACAAGGCCGGAGATTATTTATGCAACATCGTGAGTTCGTGACTTATAATAACGAAGCAATATCATTGAATCTTTCACAAGGCCATAAATATCATTGAAGCAGCTCCAATCGGGAGAAAAAATAAATTAAATAAAAGAGGCACAAGACCATGCATGACACTACTAGAATCCAAAAGCAACACAAATTAAATAAAGATGGAAGAACGGGAGGCACATATTACAGGGCTTGCTTATGTACTGTAATCATTCACGTTAATCACAATTCCAACTGCATGCGGCAATAATGCATGGTCGATTCGAGCGAGGGGAGAGGGAGACTATGCCGGGCGCTTGGGATTGCATCTAAGGCATGCCGCCCTGCAATCACTCTGCTTCCGGTAGCACTTGTCTGTCGGCATGCAACGATCAGCGTCAGCTTGCTCTCATCTGTTAGTGTTGTAGCGTTACTCCTTGTCCTTGCAGTTCTGACCTCGAACTGGTGAGGACGACCCGCTGCATCGGCAAGATTATCAGCTCGTAATGTATAGTGTGTGTGTGTGTGTGTGTGTATACAAGATGATCATCAAAATGCATCCCAAACTACCGCACCTGTCATTATTCATGGATCGTAAATGTATGGTACACGAGTCAGGCTGCAAGGAAATTATTTATTTACAAATGAAAACGCGCTTCAAGCTCTGAATTTTACTTAACGGAAACTATTCATTTACAATGAAATAAATGCCCTGAATTTTACGTAACAGAAATTATTTATTGAAATTACAATGAAATAAATGCTCTAAATTCTTCTATAACGAAAACGCTAACATCAATGTGAGCGGAACCTAGAGAAAAAAAATAGTACAAGGATCAGCTGTAAAGATCATCGTCCTCGGCGTCGGCATTGGCCGCCGCCTCTGCTTCTGCCGCCTGCTGGGTCCGCTTGGAGAAGCGGAACTCGGTGCCGAATCCCCTCGACTGTTGCAGCGTCTGCGCGAACGCCTGGTACTTTCGGATGTCCGCGTCGCTGACGCTCCTCCGCGCGTACCTCATGGACTCCTCGAAGTGCGCGGCCCCGACCTGCGCCGGCTCGTCGGCGCAGTCCACCTCCATTTCCTCCGGCTTCTCCCTGGCCTTCCTCTCCCGCTCGAGGTCCTTCTCGATGTCCTCCCTGATGGCGTACTTGCACGCCCTCTGGCAAATCTCCGTGATGTCCGCGCCGCTGAAGCCTGCCGTGAACCTGGCCAGCGCGCCGAGGTCAACGTTCTTCGCCACGGGGGACTTCCTCAGGCAGGCCTTGAAGATCTGGTGCCGCGAGGCCTCGTCTGGCAAGGGGATGTAGATGAGCTGGTCGAGGCGGCCGGGCCGGAGCAGCGCCGGGTCGATGATGTCCGGGCGATTGGTGGCGCCGATGATGAACACCGTCTTCTTGGCGCCCATGCCGTCCATCTCGGTGAGGAGCTGGTTGAGGACCCTGTCCGCCGCGCCGCCGGCGTCGCCCACGCTGCGGCCCCTCTGCGTGGCGATGGAATCCAGCTCGTCGAAGAAGAGGACGCACGGCGCCGACTGGCGCGCCTTGCCGAATATGTCCCGGACGTTGGCCTCGCTCTCGCCAAACCACATGGTCAGCAGCTCCGGCCCCTTGACACTGATGAAGTTGGCCTGGCACTCGTTGGCGATCGCCTTGGCGAGCAGGGTCTTGCCGCAGCCCGGTGGCCCGTAGAACAGCACGCCCCTGGACGGCGACATGCCGAACTTCTCGAACTTGTCCGGGTGCTCCACGGGGTACTGCACGGTCTCCTGTAGCTCCCGCTTGACGCCCTCCAGGCCTCCGATGTCCGCCCAGCTGACGTTGGGCACCTCAACCACGGTCTCGCGCAGCGCCGACGGGTTGGTGCCGGCGAGGGCAGTCTTGAGGTGGTCGTTCGTGATAGCCATCGAGCTGAGGATCTCCGCGTCCATCGTCTCGTCCTCGAGGTCGATGACGTCCATCTTCTCCCTGATACACTGCAGCGCGGCCTCGGTGCAGAGCGCGGCCAGGTCGGCGCCCACGTAGCCGTGCGTGTCCTTGGCCACCGCCTCCAGGTCGACGTCGTCGGCGATCTTCATATTCTTCGTGTGCACGAGCAGCACCTCGAGGCGGCCGACCTCGTCCGGCACGCCGATATCAATCTCACGATCGAACCGGCCGAACCGTCGCAGAGCAGGGTCGATACTGTTGGGCCGGTTGGTGGCGCCCATTACGATGACGTGCGCGCGTGTCTTCAGCCCGTCCATGAGCGTGAGCAGCTGGGACACGATGCGCCTCTCCACCTCGCCGTGTGTCTTCTCCCTCTTGGGTGCGATGGAGTCGATCTCATCAATGAATATGATGGACGGCGCGTTCTTCTCTGCCTCCTGGAATGCTTTTCGCAGATTGCTCTCGCTCTCCCCGGCCAGCTTCGACATAATCTCGGGGCCGTTTATGCAGAAGAAGAAGGCGCCGGTTTCGTTTGCCACCGCCCGCGCGATCAGAGTTTTGCCGGAGCCTGGAGGTCCGTACAATAGGATACCCTTGGGCGGCTTCACTCCGATCGACCTGAACAGCTGCGGGTGCCTGAGTGGCAGCTCGACCAGCTCCCTGATCTGAGCGAGCTGCTTCCGCATGCCGCCGACGTCGTCGTAGCCGACGCCATCGAGCCTCTCCTCGTCCTCCCGCTTCACGGGCTCGCCGTCACAGAACACCTCCGTGTCGTCCGCGACGATGCAGTACTCGGCAGGCGGGTGGATGTCCACCACCTTAAACTCCACGCTCCGCATGCCGCCGCGCACGAGGAAGAGGTCGCCCTTGCGGACGGGGCGGTAGGCGTTGAGGAAGTGCGGCTTCAGGTAGGCCTCGAAGAGGTCCCCCGTGAGGCCCTCCACGGTGTCGTCGAGGGGCAGGACGTGTACTTTGGCCCCGTACGCGGCGTCGAGGCACGGGTGCACGGACACGACGTCGCCGAGGCGCACCCGGAGGTTGGAGCGGACGGACGGGTTGATCCCGAGCGCGTGCTCCCGGCATCCCTCGTCGGCCATGGCGATGCAGATCGTGTCACGGCGCCGCTTCCCCTTCAGCAGGATCACGTCGCCGCGGAAGATGGACAGCTTCTCCATTGTCGCCGGGTGGAGGTTGCAGGTGGAGACGTCGTCGTCGGTTGGCTCCTCCACCACCAGCTTGTTCGCCGCCTTCTTCTTCGTGGCGGCGGGAGGGCAGCACGCCGCTGCGCCGTCGTCCGACATCGTGCCGGGTTCAATCTTTCTCGAGAACGGGTGGTGGCAGTGTGGTATGGCGTGTCTTGGTGCGCTTCGGCTTCGCGTCTCGCGTCTCGCGGCGGCGGGAAGGCAGTTTGTGTTTGCGTGACGATGGGGTCGCGGGGGGTCCGGTATATATCGCGAGCGGGCGGGCGGGTTTCCACCTCGCACGGGCACTCGACTTGTCGAGTCCGATGCGGGAGGCGTTCGTTGCGGCTTGCAGTTGGGCCCGATCGAGTCCGATTCCGTTTCCCTTCTACTGTCCCGCCCAATTCGGACTCCTGGAGCTTCTGGAAGGCCAGCCCATCACAGCCCAAAGGTGAATACAACCTGCTAAGATTGCAGCCCAGCATCATCATCATTGGAAAAAACGACGGGCTCGTTTCGAAGGCGGATCGGATCGGAGTCACATCAGAAAGCCGACGCTGGCTAGCGAAAAATCTCCTCTCCGTTGGGCCACGTCCACGCCACACACGGAGTCCCTTGCACGGCACGCACGAGCATATTCTCCCCCCACAGCCACTCATGCCGAAGGCTGAACCGAACAAAGGCGGGCGGCGGCGACCTTTTCCAAGGGGAGAGGTCCGGCCCCACAGCGGAGCCTGACCCTCTCTCCCTCTCGAGAGCGACTCCCTCGGCGTCGCCATCGACCCCGCGGAAGCGGGGAGCGCACGCTTACCCACTCCCCAACCCAACCAAAACCAATGGAGCAGCCCCTCACGATGGACCGGAGTTGGGGGGTGACGACGAGCCAGCCGCCGCCGGTTTGACCAGACCTGTGGTGATCACCTCATAAGGTAGTGGGGAGAGAGCTTCCAGTTTAGAAAATAAGAGGGGTGCTGCGGGGTGGACTGAGAGAGAGGGAGGAAGGAGGAAGGGAGCCGGCGATGGGCGGGTGGAGCTGGCTCTGGTGCGGCCGATCCAACGCCGGAGGCGGCGAGGTCCGGCTCCCCGAGCCCTTCCAGCTGCCGGCGCCCTTGCCCGAGTGGCCACAAGGTTTGGGGCAATTCTCTCTCCCCCTCCAGCGCCTTTCCTTTTGCTGGCTTTGATTTGCTGTTCGTGCTGATTGGTTGTGGAACCAGTTGGCGGTTGAGTCGTAGCTGCTCCGTATGAGTATCAATTATTGCTAGATTTACAGTCCGTCCGTTGATAATCACCCGATTATTTTGTTTGTCCGTTTTCCATGTTTCTTATCAGCAACCCTTTCTGTGGTAACCGTTACTAGAATCGATACTTGCTTCAAATTCTTCCGTCTTGCATAAGAAAATAAGTTGGGTTTGGCTTGCACAAAGGTTTCTCTCCTCGAGGGGGCAGGGTAATTTTTTAAATCATATAGTGTCGCTAATTCACTGTATAAGAAATACTCCCTCCATCCAAAATTGTAAGTCATTCCAAGAATCTTGAAGACTCAAACTTTTTCAAGTTTGACTAAAATTATAGAGAGAAACACAAAGATTGATGACATCAAATAGGTATAATATGAAAATATAACTAATGAAGAATCTAATGATACTTACTTGGTATGATAAATATTATTATTTTGTTATATAAATTTGGTCAAACTTGAAAAACTTTGACTCTCCAAGATTCTTGGAATGACTTACAATTTGGGATGGAGGGAGTACTAGTATCTACCTGTTTGCTTATTTTCAGGGAACAAAATCTGTAATTAACTTATTTTGTACAGGCCACTTAGAATCAGTTCTTGTGTTGTCATGCATGTGAAACTGGAATCCTGTTCATAGTTGAGCAACAATAATAGATGCATGTATCAATGTTCACTTGGCATTGTTTTGCCATATAAATTGTTTTCTGGAATCTCTTGCTAACTTTTTTGCGCAACTCCTTCACAGGAGGGAATTTTGCTAAGGGCACAATATGCATAGGAGAGCTTGATGTTGTAAATATTACCAAATTCCGGAATATATGGACCTGCTCAGATGCTACATTTTATGAGCCAGAAGGAATTCCTGATGGTTTCCACTGCCTTGGGCACTACGCCCAACAGAATGACCGCCCCTTGCAGGGATTTCTTCTTGTGGCAAGGGAAGTGGCTAGCCACCAAGTTATTAATAGCAAGCCCGCCCTTGAGAAACCATTAGATTACTCCCTTGTTTGGACCAGTGCTGACTTAAATGAAGATGACAACAGCGAATGTGGTTGCATCTGGTTGCCATGTCCACCGAATGGGTATAAAGCCCTTGGCTATGTGGTTACTAAAGGACCAAAGGAGCCCTCACTGGAAGCAGTTCGATGTGTGCGAGATGACCTAACAGACACATGTGAAAATTTCCGTTCAATTGTAAATATGGATAATGCATGCCAGATTTGGAAGACAAGGCCTTGCCACCGAGGAGTGAGAGGACATGGTATACCGGTTGGTACATTCTCCTGTGAAACTGATTCAACAGATACTGATGAATCAAGCACTCCCTGCTTGAAAAATGTCGACTCAAATTTGAGTGCCATGCCTAATTTGGAGCAGATCAATGCTCTGATCAAGCACTATGGCCCAACAGTTTTCTTCCACCCACAAGAGACATACTTACCATCATCAGTTTCTTGGTTCTTTGAGAATGGAGCGACATTGTACAAGAAAGATGCAAAAATGGGAGATGCAATACTCCCTGGTGGCTTGAACCTGCCTGTTGGTGGGACAAATGATGGTGAGTACTGGATTGATCTCCCTGACGATGACAGGAAGGAGCTTGTCAGAGATGGCAATCTGAAGAGTGCTGAGCTATATGCTCATGTGAAGCCAGCTCATGGAGGGACCTTCACTGACGTTGCAATGTGGGTATTTTGCCCATTCAACGGGCCTGCCACTATCAAGGTTGGATTTGCAAGTTTTGCTCTACAGAAAGTCGGTAGGCATATTGGAGACTGGGAGCATTTCACCCTCCGAGTGAGTAACTTCTCAGGTGAGCTGTCATCTATCTACTTCTCGCAGCACAGTGGGGGTGAATGGGTTGAAGCTTGTGATCTGGAGTTCATCTCTGGGAATAAAGCAATTGTTTACTCGTCGAGGAATGGGCACGCAAGCTACCCCCACCCAGGCTGCTACCTGATGGGGTCTGAGAAGCTTGGTGTCGGAGTTAGAAACGATGTGGCCCGAAGTGATTTATCAGTGGATTCGAGCACGCAGTATAAAATCATCTCAGCAGCGCATCTCGGAGATGCTGTTGTGGAACCATGCTGGCTGCAATACATGAGGGAGTGGGGACCGACCGTCACGTACAGCTCACGTTCAGAGATAGACACGGCACTTAGCTTCTTGCCGTTCTTTCTCCGGTACACAGTGGAAGCAATATTCAACAGCCTTCCGGAAGAATTGTACGAGGAGGAAGGTCCTACAGGACCCAAGGAGAAGAACAACTGGCAAGGCGATGAGAGATGCTAGGCTTTGTCGCCTTCATTATTTATCCCATTTACCTCTATCTGTACCCTAAAGCTGTATTTGATGAAAAGATTGATGTGCTATGCTATGATAAAACATTTAGTTTAGGATATGCTTGCGAAGCTTGAGGGTTCAGTGCACTTGTCAGGTTAAACATTGCACTGTTTATTTAGCTGCAGTGGTGCAAGTACATGACAACTTGTCCTGTGCGTCTGCCAACCAAATTGCGGTTGTATAATATTGTACCAGTCATACTTCTTTCTAGTGGAGTATTTGGTAAGAGCCAGATATGTAGTTCAAAATTAATAATCTTGTGAGTTCCTCTCTTGCAGTAAAACATTTGCAAGGCCTTTCTTAGTGCCCGATGCATCATTCTTTTAAACTAGTGGGATGGGTAATGAAACAGTGTAAGTTTTTTTTTCTTTCTTTTCTTTTTGCGAGACTGTAGGGTTAACTGAAGACTCTGATATCAAAATGACAAAAGGCCGCAGAGGAGAGAAAATGATGATCTCTGCCGAGGCCGGTAAGCCGGTTCGACTAGCAAAGCGACATCCGGAGTGATTTTACATCGGCCGAGAGGAATTATATCAGAGTTTTACTGTATGTCAAGAGAAGGCGTGAGACCCTTCAACTCCATTGTTTTTTGAAAATTATTTAAAAAAAACTGTTCAACTCCATTGTTGTTGTTGCATTATGATTTTTTTTAAGAAAATAAGTTGCTTTTTCTTTTGCATCTGACAATGGCACGGTTCCTTGTGTCGCAGTGCATCCTGATATGTGTGCACTTGGTGCTGTCCTTGCTAGCATATGTTACAGTCTGTAACCTGGTTCCTGCATGCGCTACTTTTAGCTCCACCAGATGACTTGTTTACAGAAAAGAGGTGATTAGCAGCGGAATCCAGCCGTCGGCTGCACATGGAGTATTTTGTTTTCAGGTCATGGTAATGAACCTGACATTGGTCATACTCTTTTTAGCACTGGATGTGTTACTAACCTCGGCGTTGAACCTTTTCGCCTGCTGATTTGAGTGCTGAATTACTGAAGCAGAAATTGGCACTGATTATAGTAAAATTTGGCACTGACATACAGTAATGGGCACTGTATTTAAAAAAAATACAGTAATGGACAGAGAACAAGCACTCCAATCTGATGCCAAAAACAAATCTTCTCTGCTCTTATTACGCACGAGTTATTCCCTTCGTTCTCCACTCTGCAAGGGAAAAGCAGTATGCATTGTTGTTATACATACATACAGAAGCATCAGCTTCGTGTAATGTACTAGTGTCACAAATCCTCCCCTGGTGCCCTGTGTTCCCTCATCGGTTCCATGGTTATTCAGGTCAGGGAACGCCCAGTGTTCCTCCCACTCATATACACCTCATTTTCTATGTCGCCCTATGGTGTTGGTACGAACCTCTATGGTGTAAGTACACTGGCAGATACCGGCTATTGCCTCCCAGCCTCTATTGCTAGGATTGGGGTGGGTTTTAAGCTAAGCCTCTCTATATACAGCTCGACCGAGTGGAGTATTCCGATACTAGCTGCATGAACATAGACGACTTGTCCTCTAAAAGCTTCTGGGGCGTGTCGAACTCTGCAATTTTACCTGAAAATCAAGAAGATGAGATAAATTATTTGTGAAGAGTTCTTTCCAAATTCTGTGCATAAGAAAAACTGTCAGTTTGCTACTGTTTCTGGATGTTATTCAAGAATTCGATGCACAAGCGGGAAAGACGTGAGCTCAGGAAATCTAGCTATGAACAAATAAAGGAAGCACAGTTAATTTAGTCAAAGAATTCGTACCATCACTAAGGACCAGAACAAGGTCACTGTCAATTACTGTGGGGATACGATGAGCAATGGTACAGACTGTGCAGTCCTTGAATTCACTGCGAATGATCTTTTGGATAAGATTATCTGTTGCTGTGTCAACAGATGCCGTCGCCTCATCAAGTACCAAAATTTTTGCCTGCTTGAGCAACGCCCTACCCAGTGCAATAAGTTGGCGCTGTCCCACACTCCAGTTATCTCCGTTTTCTAGCACTGCGAAAGCACAAATAGTCCAGGAAGAATAACTTTTTTTGCATTAAGAAGCCACATTCTCACTCTTCAAAGAAGGCTTGGCAGCAAAACGTCAGACTAACCTGGACTGTCAAGTTTCTCTTCCTTGGAACGAATGACCTCTCCTAGCTGACACTTTTCTAGTGCCTGAAACAGAAGATGTTTCTTCGATAAGAATCTCACAGATTTAACATGAGTATAGCATAAAAGTGACCAGGATGTACCTCCCAAATTTCTTGATCAGCACGCTCTTCAAGAGGATCAAGATTCATTCTGATAGTACCCTCAAACAATGTAGGGTCTTGAGGGATGATACTCAACCGTGACCGCAGATCGTGAAGGCCAATTACAGAAATGTCAATGTTGTCAATTATAATCTTCCCTCCAGTGGGTTCAATTAGGCGGAATAGGGCCTGAATAAGGGTAGATTTACCACTTCCAGTACGCCCTACAATCCCGATCTTTTTCCCGCCCGGAAACATACAACTTACACCATGAAGAACTAATGGTAGATCATCCTTGTAGCGGACCTTTCGTATTCATGAAAAAGCAAATTAGATGCCAACACTAAATAGATCATAAATTAGAGATGTATGGTAATTATACATAGTAAAGAGAAAATTGTAAATAAATCAACATTAGAATATAAAATTTGCACACTGGAAATACTAATCAGCTCTATAGCAATGCTAATGAAAGTCTTATCCTTAACTGCCACTGCCACCACTAATAAAGCGTACCTTGAGATCAATCAGTTCAATGCTTCCATTGTGAGGCCATGATGATGGTGGACGGCAATTCTCAATAATCAGTGGTGCTTCACTAGGAAGCTTGCAATATTGATAAATGCGTTCAACAGAGATTATCCTGTTCTCTAGTTTACAGAAGCTCAATATCCACCTTGACATGCGAGCATTTAAATTAAGTCCATATGTGACAGCGAGGCCAGCCATACCTATCAATTTGAAAGTCCATTTAGATGCTGAATAAATTTTAACAGACAAGAGGATTCAAGCATTCTACTGGACAGAATAAAGCGTTGGATAAAGCAACAAAATATAGTAGAGCAGCATGTGGAACATAAAGCATACTTGGTTCAATTGTGCCAGGAGGAAAGCTCACAAGTATTGCCATGCAGAAAGCAAAGACAAAAGTTGACAGCAATTCCATTCGCAGGCAGAGCCATTCAATAGCAGCAAGGCTGGAAAATAAAGGCCGAGCAAAACAGTCAAGAAGGTAAAGATTCCTTTTCATAAACCGTTTCTCTTGACCAAAGCCTCTTATTGTAGCAGCACCAGCAATTGATTCACTAAACAAATGGATAACTGGAGACTTTTGGACACTCAAAATCCTAGTCAGTTCCCTTGATGAAGCAATATAATACCTCTGCAAAGGTGACAGTAGTTGGAGCATTAGTAAAATGCCACTCTGATTTATCCTTCTAAATAGGTTCTTCCTTATGACTATGATGGTTAATAAAAAATTAAGAGAATTGAGCTAGAAGTATCTCATTTAATAAACATTAGTAAGCATAGCAATTTACAAGACATCAACAGTGAACCAATGACATACTAAACATATAGTGCAATACATGATGTGCCTATGTCCAGTGACTGATAAACTTTCTGTAAGGATCATTAGCCAAAAGTAAACTCTAGTTATACTACCCATCTTGCAAAAGGAGGTGGAGTTCTCAAAAATTTTAGACTCTCCTATACCAATTTTCTAAGTGTCAAGAAAAAAAGAACAGCTTGTGATATTAAACCTAAAATATAGGTTAAAATGTAATGTCTGGTGATCACAACATTTACCTGCATCCACATGCATGCAATAGCCATGGGAACTATAAGAATCAGAACTTGCCATGTGACTTTGCTCATGACAGCAACAATTCCAAGGAGTTGAATTGTCGTTGATGCAAATCCACCAAGTCTGAACGCTATATCAAGGTCCACAACACTTTGATCTACAGAAACCTGATATAAAGTATGAATAAGGAGGAAGCACATATTACAAACTTATATTAGCATGGGCAAGAGCAAGACTTACTCGGTTCAAAATCCGACCAGATGGTGTGGTGTCAAAGAATGACATTGGAGCTCGAAAGACACACCTAAGCATTTTTATAAAAAGCTTCTGGGCAGCTGCTAAACCAAACGTAGCCACAAGAAGGCTTCTCACAAACACAAATAATGAACTCCCAAAAGCAAGGGACATATAAACAACCAGAAGGACCACACTATCTGTCTTGGGTGCATCTCCTTCTGTTTGTGGGTTTGCCCACGCCATCCACCAGTTGCTCGCAATCTGAAGAACTTGGAACATGGTTTGAGCCAAGATAATTAGCGGTATCAGTGCACCTTTGTAAGCTTCCCCCATGTATGACAAATAAACTTTTGAGCTCACTCTTCCACGTTCCCTTTCCTCCTCCTGAACAGTACGCTTCTTCTTACGCTCTTCTTTCTTCTTTTTTTCCTTAATTCCCCGTGCATTAGATGGTTGGCCATTTTCACACACCTTGTTTTTCAGGTTATCAATATTACTAATACTTGGTGTCAATCTTTTGTTGGGAATAGAAGAAACTGTATCATCATCGGAATCTTCAAAGATTTCCATGGTTTCAATAGCTTCCTTATGAGCAGAAACCAGAGCATTGAAATCAGTTCCAGCTTGCAGAAGATCATCATACTTTCCAGCTTGTGTGATATGTCCATCCTTAAGAACCTGTAACACGACAGAGAAGCATAAAAGAGAGATTAATACAGGCCCATTAGTCCCACGTATAGTACCATGAAAACTATCCTGAGGATAACTAGCTCTCATGTAGAGGTCACATACATGGTTAGCTTCCAAAAGAAAAAGATGGACCAATAGGGTACTGGCATATTGCAGACAACAACTCAATATGATGATGAAAATGAAAAGCATACCCATAAGCATTA